AATCAGAAGCGACGTTACCGTTTCCGCCCGTAGTCTCGTGTCCATCATCACATTTTGAAATCGCCACTGGAGGTTGTTTTCTTGCGTCGGCAGCGGCCTTACCTCCCGAAGTCACCTATTCTAGTTTTCCCGAAGCGGGCTTTGGGGAAGTCGCTTCGGAGAGTTTGAAGATGGGCGCGGACTTGGTGACCGATACCTCAGTGGCGCTGTCGACCGAGACTGATGCTGCTGCGAGGAGTGAGCACCTTGACGCGTTGACAAGTACTCCTCGATTTCAAAAGGTCCCGCCCCATTCCGTGGACAGGCAGCGTTTACGAGAAAAACCCCGAAGTCCAGCTCGGCGATATTCACACATCCTGTAAAGATAGCCAGCTTCGACGCAGTGATAACAAAGCGGAATTCGATCAAGAGTGCGCCATATATCAGCTTTTCGAAGCCTAGTCTCGGATGGGGACGGCGTAAATCGAGGTTTCGGCAGATGCGTGCTTGCTGCGGCAAAATAAGGTCCAGGGGTGGCGAAAGGAGGTCCAGGGGCGACGAAATGAGGTACAGGGGCGCTTCTCAGTACCTCGGCGTACGAGACTGCGGGCTGCATCGGAAACGACGCTTGAACAGGCTGGGCTTGTGGCTGCTGCTCACGGACTGCCTGTCTCACCTCCTCCCGAACAAATTCCGCTAATAACGAGACCGTTGAGGGGTTGCCGTTTAGCTTCTGGAGCTCTTCTCGAACCACCGATCGAATGAGCTCTCGTAATACGTCGATGGCATTCCCGAAGACTGCTGACACCGCGTCTACGGATGCGACGTTAACATCTCAATTGTAGTGCCTCGCTCGCTGTTGCAGAGTCTTTTTAACCGCTGTCGCCTCGGTGCGAAATTCAGTGACGTTCCGCGGGGGACGTCAGAGCAAACTAGCATAAATCTCCTGCTTGACCCCACGCATCAGGTGCCGAAGTTTCGTGTCCTCGCTCATATTTTGATCAGACCGGCGGAATAACCGGCTCATGTCTTCCACACACATTGCGACGCTTTCATTGTTGCGCTGGTTTCTTGCTTGCAAGGCAGCTTCAGCTCTTTCCTTGCGGTCTGTACTCGGGTATGTGGCCAGTAGCTCCCGTCGGAAATCATCCCACGATCGAATGGTGCCTTCATGGTTTTCGAACCACGTTCGTGCACTGTCCTGCAATGAGAAATAAACTTGGCAGAGCTTCCGTTCTTCAGTCCATCCGCTGCAGTTGGCGACGCGCTCAAAACCCTCCAGCCAATCCTCGGCGTCTTCATGAGGATCGCCATGAAAAGGGTCCGGCGTCCGTGGATCATCGACAACAACGTGCGTGGGAGTCACTGGAGACAAAACGACGTGTGCGGCAGCGGTTGGAGACGACATTTCAGTACTCTCACCGGAGAGAGCTGGAAACACTCTGGGCTCTGGTGGCAGGAAAAAATTCCGGCAGCTCACCACGTAGGCGACGGCCGGAGCGCTGATAAACTGGCGTGAGCTCAGTTTGTTCGACTGCTCGTGGTTCCGGGCTGCTTTCTTGAAGTCCAACTGGGTTTGGGATCATTACCCGCCTCCTCCACCAGAATTGTTACGTACAATCCAAATGGTGTACAAATAACTGTTTATTGGGGCGAACTTGTGCCCGAAAAGTGAAAGAAAATGTAGCGGCGTCTCTAACAGGCGATCAGCAAAAAGGGCTCAATCTCTGAGAAACCCTCGAGCGGTGCACCACTTCTTTTTCATCGAAATCCCGTGCTGAGGAGGCGCGCGCCGTCACGGCCTCTTCTTGTTTGATCATCGGGCCGCTGGTCTCTTGGGGGGCCGCACGAACTAGCGCGTGTAGTTTGACTACTGCGTTTGCCTTGCGTCAATATTATGACTACCTAGAACATGTGGCTTCTGCTGAACGATATGTGTTCATTAATTGATAAGCTGTGAGCAGACAATGGTTTGAGTGTGAACGCTATCACTGCACATTTTCAGCAAGACACCTCGAGACCTTGTTTACGAAGGTAGCACGATGTCGTTGGAGCAGCCTTCTGAAGGTGGGCGCGAAGCTAAGACGTTGTTACACCTGACGGCCAAATGCAGATGTCATCAGCGTAGACAGAAAGTTTTACAGTGCTAGGTAGGTACTCGACTAGTCTAATGAGAGTTAGATTGAAAAGTGTAGGGCTTAACACTTTTCCCGGAAGAACTCCTCGGCTGCTGTAATAATCGTGTGTTGGGCCATTCGCTGCTATCACGTAGAATTATCTCAGCTGTAAGTAGCTGTACACTCACATATATATCTTGCCAGTAAGACCTACTGTTTTTAAAGCGCTAAGGACGGCTTGATTGGTGACATTTTTGTAAGACCCCTTAACGTCTAGAAACTGGGCGGCGCACAGTCTCTTACAGGCTTTCTGGTGTTCAACATGTGTCAACAGATCAACAACGTTATCGATTGACGAATGGCCGCACCTCAATCCAGTCATGGATACTGGATAGGTTTTGTAGTGCTCTAAATACCACTTAATTTGTGTTAGAATCATTGGTTCTATTGTTTTCCCGCACAACTGGCAAGCGCAATAGGACGGTATGAGACAATATCCAGAGTAGATTTACCGACCCTTTGAAGTGGAATGAGGCAACTTGACTTCCATGCTTGGGTAACTGTACCAGTCTTCCAGGAGTCGTTGTATAGACATAAGAGTGCCTTCCGAGCTTCCTATCCAAGATTAGAACGGGCGCGATAGGTATAACCGTCAAGTTCGGCTGCTGAAGAACGTCTGCACAATGCCAGTGCCAATTTTAGCTAATTCAAAGAAAACTGGCATTCCATACGGGTATCACGTGATGCCGGTGGGTTTTCAAGTGCTTCCATTCTCGATTGCGTAAAATTGCGATCCCGGCAATTCTTCTACAGAAGAGTTCTGCGACATCAATCTCTCTCCTTTGTAGGTAAAGTGCCAGAGATGTCAACGGGTGTCGCTGACCAAAGGTTGTGCCAAGACCCCGGACAGTTCACGATATCAGTGATAGGGGCTTTCGCGGATCCAACGACCCGCAGAAGAATATTCAACGTCGCCAAGCCACTTTATCCATGTGCCGCTCCATTATTTTTTGAATACGTCTAGCCAGCCTCAAATCGTCCATGCACTATGTCCGTCGGTACCTACGTTCTCAACGACCACGTAATGCGCAAAATTTCTAAAGCTCGATGTCAAAATTGTGTGTGCTTGTGACTAGTCAAAAATAAGTGCGTGGTATTCTGCAAGATATCTTTTTATGAGTCCTCAAGGTTATACGATGAGCCGTCGGTACCTCAGTCTTTCATTGACTTTTTAAATTTTGGCCAATTGGTGTATTTGAGGTCTCTTGAGGACTTGGAGATGGTGAAACCTTCTATCCGCAGGTAAGTTGGAATATGGCCGCTGATTCGCGTTTCCTATTCAGAAAACCAGTGCATTTTCCTGGTAAGTGAGTGAGGAACCATTGTAAGGTCCAGGCAGCTGCTAAAGATGATCCGCGTAAATATGTAAGGATTTCATCATTACAAGCGCAGAGTTTGTACTCCGAGGCTAAGGACACCATTTCTAATCATCTAGAGTTGACAATGGAGCTTCCCCTTAGCAAATGATGGGCATGAAAGTCGCCGGTTATCACCTATGGGCTTGGAGTCGATGTCAGAATGCCGCGTAAGTGCTCGCAGTCAAGGCGGCTCGATGGAGATAAGTAAGCTTCGATAATCGTGAAAGCAACCTTACCCTTCTTCACAGTAAAGCACACATACTGATTCCCTTGATCAGGCGAGACTCTGTGGTGAACGTAAGTGAGGTCACGGTGCATGAATACAATGACCTTGCTGCAGTCTCTGAGTGGAGGACATAAAGCATTCATATCCTGACACTTTGAATGAAGCAGACATGTTGGGTTCACAAATCACAATAATGGGAAACGGTTAACAAATGCAAACTGTCTAAATTCAGACATGCGCGACCTAAGTCCTCTGGTGTTCTACTGAAAGACAGATGTATTCTTGACTTCCACTCGAAACGACTGTGCCTCGCTGACCGTGGTTTTACCTTAGAGCTGCAAGCACCAGACTTAGAGTGTCCAGAACTTGCAGTGCGGTCTGCGCAGCTAAAGTCCTTATATTGCTCAGTAGGACACGCATGGCACTTATCAGCGATTGCAGCAAGCGTATCACTTGATCTTTATGCTACGCATCACTGGTTCGAGGGGTCGTCGAGGGCGGTGGGATTTGATGCAACTCCGAAGTAGGCTGACTTTGTGGGAGTGAGGGCTGCTGTTCGGAAGGTGCGACTGTTGTTCCTTTCTTCTGTTTGACCGAATTTGTCTTCAGTGAGTTCGGAGTTTGTGGGCCAGCCTCTTTGATAGAGGATATTATCTCTCTATCGGTAGGTAGAGCAGTTTTTTCGTCATGGTCTTCGCCCACGACGCCGTCGTCGGCGAAGTGCAGCGGCAGCTTCCTGTGCGTTGAGTTGTCCCACACCATACGCCTGAGTACCGCGTGCTCGTTTCACACCCGTGGGCCATCATTGGAGGAGGTTTCATTAGCGCCGTGGCAGTTTGGAGATCGTAACGCGGTGGCACCACAGGCGTCTTTTGAGTGAGATTCAGTGCACCGTGGACACACAACTTTGTTCTCACAGGCACCTTTTACGTCTCCCATCTTGAAACACTTGTAACATCGCAGTGGCTTTGGTACGTATGGACTCACTGAGTGGCGAACTTGGCCAACTTTGACATACAAGGGAAGGCTGTCTCCCTCGAACACAAGCCTCAAGCAGCATGAGTTACCAAGTCTGGTGATGTGCGTGATGCGAGGGCTTTATGTAGCTGGCTTTAATAATACTGGCAGGTCATTAGCTGGGATGGAAAGATCCGCTTCATGAATGACGCCTACTGTGCCATTAAAACCTGTAGCGACCATTGACTGAAATTTAACGTTGCCGATTTCTGTTATGTGCCGAAGGCTTTGCAGCGTGCTACGATGCATAACGTCTACGGCAAGGACATTCTTCCGTGCATTGATCCTCAAGTCTTTGGTCTCATTCGGCGCGGTTCCCTCGAGAAGCGCAGAAAGAACTTGCCTGTTGATGAGTCTCAAGTTGGACACAGGTTCTTCAGGCATGAACAGCATGGTGTCTAGAAAGCGCTGCGGTGCAGTCTTAACGATGGAAACACTTCCAGACGATGCCGTCCACAGCAGTCTTCGTTTTTTAGTTTCATTCATGACGCCCGTGAAGTCATCATCCGATGACTCGAAGCCATCCGAGAACAAATCGGTTTTCTCGCTGTCCGTATCGCTCGACGCGTTGCCACGCTTCCTGGACGACGAAGCCCGGTGTGACGGTTGCACGCCCGGAACATTCTCAGGTGTGTTTTGAAGCATCACCGCAAAAGAGAAAGCGGTAGCTCCCAGAATTTGCAGGAAAGCAAATTGAAAATACTGAGACACGGGCACAAGCGTTCTGTGAGGTAGAAAGAGATAGAAAAGTTGGGTTCTTACTTTTCCTTTCCGTTTGGTGCATCCGGTTGACGAAAGTAATAACTGTAGATGTGTAGTTGTGTTTTTAAAACTTATTGTTCTTATTCTTACCCAGTTGCATATACTCACCTGTTAGAAGAATGACTTTTCACAGTATTGTATTTCTTCGTCTAGTGTCATTAAGAAGTTATCTTGAAGCGAGTGATATTGTAAAGCTTTTATTGTTTATTTTAATGAACGTTCTGACAGCCAGTGTGATTGATATTTGCCTTATTTGGACAAAATACCACAGTAGTGATAGCTATTCATAGAAAACATGGCTATCTATAAAATATTTTGCATTGCCCTTTACAGGTGGAGGCACCTATAGAGAAGAGAAAGGTGAGTATTTGACCAGGCGTGGGCACGTGTTTGGTCATATATATATATTGCCACGTTCAATTTCCCAAGTTTCGTTATCGTCCCAAAACACCACGTGATTCTCAGCGCAAACCGCGCCTGCAGATTTCGAGAAGGTTCCGGACTGTAGTAGATCATTTCGATAACATCACGCCCACTGTGCGAATGGTACAGATTGTTCAGGAACCTACGCCACCACCAGCGCTAACGCAAGAACATTCGACGGCAAGAGTATAAATGCCGACGCGCTTCGCCGCTTGTCAGTAGTCGATCGAAGGCCGACGCTCCGTTCGCCACTATCAGTTAGAGACTGCTATCTGTGCGAGACTGCTGCTGTAATTGGATTTTCCGTTTACCGGGCACAGGTTCACCCAAATAAACAGTTAAATCCCAACACGAAGTCTCCTTTCTTCGGCCACGTCACGACCCCGTGACAATATATATATATATATATATATATATATATATATATATATAAATATATATATATATATATATATATATATATATATATATATATATATAGGTATGGGGTATGGCCAAACGGGAGCGTTGTCAAGAAGGATAAATATATTTATTTCCCAACAGTTTCGGGAGGGGTCCTCCCTTCATCAGGGGATGAGTGATAACTCATCCCTTGATGAAGGGAGGACCCCTCCCGAAACTGTTGGGAAATAAATATATTTATCCTTGTTGACAACGCTCCCGTTGTGCCATACCCCATACCTTCACAAAGACTAACTGGCCCATATATATATATATATATATATATATATATATATATATATATAAAGTGGGAGTAATAATTCAATGGGCCAGTTAGTCTTCGTGAAGGTATTGGATATGGCACAACGGGAGCGTTGTCAACAAGGATAAATATATTATTTCCCAACAGTTTCGGGAGGGGTCCTCCCTCATCAGGGGATGAGTGATAACTCATCCCTTGATGAAGGGAGGACCCCTCCCGAAACTGTTGGGAAATAAATATATTTATCCTTGTTGACAACGCTCCCGTTGTGCCATACCCCATAACTTCACAAAGACTAACTGGCCCATATATATATATATATATATATATATATATATATATATATATAAAGTGGGAGTAATAATTCAATGGGCCAGTTAGTCTTCGTGAAGGTATTGGATATGGCACAACGGGAGCGTTGTCAACAAGGATAAATATATTTATTTCCCAACAGTTTCGGGAGGGGACCTCCCTTCATCAGGGGATGAGTTATACTGACATGAGCTTCCAAACTTCCTTGCTGCCGCGTCCCTCTCGCCTTAAAAGACGTTTGCGAGAGTGAGAGGGAACTGGAAAAAGGAAAAAAAAACAAAAAAGGGGGAAAAAAGACGAAAAAAGAAAGAAAAGAAAGAAAGTAAAAAAGAGGAAGAACCACTGTCAACACTGAGAACGAAGCCAACTGTCCGTCTACATCCACCTACGGCTCATATCACGTGCTGTTCAGTTCTTGGCGTGTGTCGGGCCACCCAAGATTGTCGCCGCGGTGCCGGGAGGGTCCGGGACGGCGTGCCTAAAGAAAGGGGTTTCCCTGTAATTGGTCGTTCGGCGGGCGGCGGGCGGTGTGTGTAAAGGAAAGGTTTCTCGTTAATGGGTCGGTCGGCTATTTACCCTTAATCTTCGTCCGTTTCCCTTCAACGGTCATGAAGTGGTAGGCGAACGTAAACACTTTGTATGGGCATGTGAAAAAAAAAGTAAGGACAGTGTACACGTACGAGTCAGTTAGAAAAAAGCATGGTCTCCAGCTATCAATCTTTGTCACCAATTTTCTCCTGGCTTACTTCTCGGAGGCAGTTGAGTTTTCCGGGGTCCTCATTGATACCAGCTACTAATGTACGAAATTTGAAAATAAAATATGCCTCACGCTGTTCGCGCTCGCGTCTGTTTGAAAAACCAGTTCCCTCTCACTCTCGCAAACGTCTTTCAAGGCGAGAGGGACGCGGCAGCGAGGAAGTTTGGAAGCTCATGTCAGTATAACTCATCCCCTGATGAAGGGAGGTCCCCTCCTGAAACTGTTGGGAAATAAATATATTTATCCTTGTTGACAACGCTCCCGTTGTGCCATATCCGATATATATATATAAATATATATATATATATATATATATATATATATATATATATATATATATATACATATATATATATATATATATATATATATATATGTGTGTTCTAAGCGTTTAACTACTCGGAGTCCCGTAAACTATTCGTCGTAAAAGGAGGGGTGCCGCGTATTGTGGCAGAGGCTGGTAAGCGGGCGCAATGCGAATTCCTTGCCCGCTTCTGGATTACGCGTGTAGTGGGGGCCTCCCGGCTGTGCACAGAGTTGCTGTTGGGCATGTCATGCATGGCACGATTGATTGGGTAGTAAAATAAAACAGAAAACAGACGACAGCTGCGCTTAGGAAGAGTAGTTACACTTAGAATTGTTTTGGGTTGTCCAGTGCCCTTCGGAGCTCCAACGCCGTGAACTCAGTTACTATTTTCATTGTTGCCGTTATTAATTTCTAATGCTTTAATTGCTGCAAGTGTACCAGGATCAGTAACGCTCTTAGAGACGGGATTTAAATCGAATCGAGAACGTGAACAACGAGAGTCATACCTTATCCACCGATTTACCACCCTCGATATGAGAATAAATGGGAACCCTGGTACACTTGCAGCAATTTGGAGGGAAGAGTGGAAGGGGGGCGCCCGAGGGGAGTCCACCGTATAATATTTTTCTCTTCTTCTTTTTTTCCTTCTTTTTCTTTTCTTTTTCTTTTTTCCCTTTTTGCCTTTTTATTTTCTGTCTTTTTTCCTCTTTCCTTGCCCTTGATTTGAGATTGTATAAAGCTGAGCACCAACAAACTGTATCTTTAATCCAGATGAAGGCCAGACTCTAGGCCAAAACGTCAAAATAAACCACGTTGTGACCACTCACGGAGGATCTACTGATATATATATATATATATATATATATATATATATATATATATATATATAAGGGAAAGAAGTGTATACCTAAGGGCTCGTTTTTCCGTGTTTTAACACAATATTGATGAGATCTAACAGACAATAATGCCAAGGAATGTACAGGGGAAGGTATTAGAACCAATTGAATGTGAATAAGAAGAAAGAAAAATGGATGAAAAATTACCAGCCGTGAGCGTATATATATATATATATATATATATATATATATATATATATATATATATATATATTATATATATATATATATATATATATATATATATATATATATATATATATATATATATATATATATATGATGGTGTGTGTATGTGTTTGTGTACCATACTATGAATGGGTTGGAGACATCCAATGCCACATGGGTTGTAATTTTATTCTAGTCCACTGCTTTCTGCACCTTTGATAGTGCCATTCTCGCGCCCGCGAAAAGACGTGAGCGTTACAACTGAAGACAGAGAGCTGTATAAAAAATGTTCAAACGTGGAGATAGTTCTGTGTACCAATGGAGTTCCCGAAAATTGGAAACAGAATATTCAGAGTGTACAGTCCAGTTACATGCAGTGGAGCGCTGGTTGGCGATACGGGCTGTTGTGTTGTAGACGACATATGTTTACAGCATATGTTGAAGCTGGTCATAAAAAAACAATGATTTTTTTCGAGGAACGAATGAGTTTGGAACTTCCTGGTGCAACGCCAGTTCTGACATTCTAAAAATTGTGCCTCATTTTTAGTGAATGGTACACATTTGGCTCTACGAAATTACTTATTCCGCGACCGAGGCTGTTTGCAGGTTTGCGATGTCTGCCTACTATGAGGCACTGTGGCTACTTTTTAAGCTCGTGGCCGTAGAAAAAAATAGTTCCTTCCTCCGTGAGAGGATTCATATAACAGGAAAGTAAAACGTGCCCTTATAAAAGTTGTCACAGTTTACGGTTCATTGATACAAGAAAGCTTGTGCAATGTCTATTGGTGTTTGACAGTCACAGCTTTAACCACGTATATTGGAAGTGAATCAACGTTGACGCGTGGTGAGAGATCTCCGTTCCGAGAACTGACGTGCATCATGAATGATTAAACAAACGTTAGTGGTCAAAGATGACTGCGGTATACATTTGGATTTGAAAATTCAGAAATTAGGGATATATAAACAATGTGTCTCATTCGCAATTTTCTCACAAAGTAGAGGCCCGAATGCTGTAAGAAGACAACATTTTGCACACTCGTGCTATTCGTAGTATGTGAAGAAATTATGAGACCAGCGAGTATACCATCTTTCCCGTAAGGTCTAGCGATTACCCATTTTAGTTCACTTTGGTTCATGCGCTCATGGATCACTCAGAACTGATTCATGAGATGTTTAGGATTCTTGTTGTTGCTATGCGGTCTTTGACTGCAAACTACTTTTCAGCAACATTGAATGAGTCGCCGGACAATCAACGACGTTGCATTCGCGACGAACTGCCAATAAGTCGTTTTTAATTCCGAAGCAATTTTTCGCGAACTGCCATCACTTTTGCTATCTATCTATCTATCTATCTATCTATCTATCTATCTATCTATCTATCTATCTATCTATCTATCTATCTATCTATCTATCTATCTATCTATCTATCTATCTATCTATCTATCTATCTATCTATCTATCTATTTATCTATCTGTCTGTCTGTCCGTCTGTCTGCCTGTCTGTCCATTCGTCGGTCTACCTAACTCTGGCTGCTCTCGTGATCACCGCCTTTAATTGGGGTAAACCAAAATTAGTACAGGAGCGTAATATGGTTGACAAATAGATACGCTAGTCATGACATGTATACTGTCGCAATCTCTCTTAAGCACCGGCGTCGCTCATTGGTGGCATAATGAGCTGGCACAGAGTCGACCCGGGTTTGAATGTCACAATCTCGTAGTTTACGTCGTGAGACACTTCCAATAAAACGGTGGTGCCACTAGTATACGGGTATTTGCCTAGGTGAAAGACATTTCATACCTAGGTAGGAACGTTGAGAACACTCATTGCCAAGTTTAATGAGTGAGCATCACGAAAAAGCTGCCATAGGTAGCGTCTATAGGACGAACGCAACAAATAAATGTCAATGTCTTCGCCAGAATCGAACCCTAGAATTCGGCGTGACAGTGAAGTGTTCTACCACAGAGCAACGCCAGGCCTTGTATACACTTATCAATTAGACCCTAATAATCGCGCAAACGTCAACTATTTTAATACTGCCTACACAATTTTATAAATCTTACATATGTGCTCCTATGATACAGCCGTAATTTCGGGTTGACTTCAATTGTTGTTAGGCACCATCCTCTGAAGTTGATTTGTGTAGTAGTCTTGAGGAATACCATCCTCGCGTGCACCAACACAAACACCAATGCTTCACATCAACTTACCGCTTCTGGTGTTGCTAATATTCAGTTTGCTGTTTGCATCTTTACACAGCTGTAAACAACTGCCTACATAAAGCATACGCGGGTGTTGAAGTTTGTATGCGTGGATATTTACATAGATTTAGCGCCACCTCTTACCGTCTCGCTAATTATACTAAAAAAGAAATAACCCATTCACTTTCCTACTACACGCTATGCACATCATAAATTCCCAACGTGCGATGGATCTGCCAATTTCTTTATATTTTGGGCTAACTAAGCTATTTCCGTTGCTATATAGTAAGCTGGGCTACCCAATTCACCTGTGAAAGGTGCAGACTGCCATTGATTTATCTGTATATACAATCCAAACCTATTGTTTTACAGGTATATACGCTTCCTACCTACACTTTCATAACAATATGAATGAGCTTCCCTTGTAGGCGTGTTGTTAACGAGCTTATATATGTGCGTTCATTTTAGATATTGCTCAGCAAAAAAGGGGGTTTAAGCTTGCAAACACTGAATTGTATATATTTTACCGCTATTACAATACCTCAATTCTTGTAATTAGGTACGAAGAAATTTAGGAATTTGAAAGTAATATGTTCATATGTACCGTAATATCAAAAGAATTACTTTACAATTCAATCTCACAATATATTTGTAATATAAATATTATGCAGTGTGAGTGTCCCGCTGAACTCCTGCCTTACATGCTATTTGCAGTGTTGGCAGGATATGGGCCGGATGACAAAGGAAATCCAAATGGTAATGTGTGAAATTCTGCTATTATTCGTAGAATTCAGTTTTATCTTCCGTAGCACACGTAATACCTGTAAGAGCCGTACTGGGCAACCTGCCATCTGAGATTTACGAAAATACAGCGCTAGTTTCCTTTAACTGCGATGCTAATGCTAAATGGAATTGTTTCCTCTATTTTTTGGCGCAACCAACTCTGGGGAATATGCGATGAATCGGGCGGTGCATGGTTTAGTAAGCTAAATCACTTATGAACAGAACGGTTTGAAATGAATGGTTTAATCATAAAAAAGTATTATTATAAGCTTGCAAGATTACACCAAATGAGATTAACCTTCAGTGCACTAAAATAAACAAACTCAAAAAACAAACTTAGGATAAGACATTTGAATTAAGGTACACCTCACACTCACTTCTTTCAGACTCTTGTGAAAAGTTAGATACAGCGTCGTAAACGATTCTCTGGCCAAAAATTGAATATCGTTGGACCGAACGTAGTCATCAACGAAAGTCACAAGTTCAAGTTGAACTTCTGCAGAGGTTCTTGTAGTAGTATTTTTGTTTCTATTTCAAGTCTTCGCTTGTAATATGCCTACTGTGATGTAGTAGCTCGGAAAAGGCGAGTATAGCAGACAACAGCGCGACATCAACCAACAAGACGACGAAAATAAAGGGGCATTGAAGTTCACCCAATGATAAAAAGAAGAGATGGCGTTTGCGTGAAACGGAGCTATGGGTACGCCGAAAAGACAATGCAAGAAAGCTTAGGGTGAACCCGCAACCAGCCGCGAGGTTTGCAAGGCCTTGTTCTTGTCCCCGAGCCTTTGGAGTCCTCGGGGCACGGCGTGTCGGCGTTCTCGGTGAGTGCTCCTGCGAATATCTCTGGTACGGTGAGCGTCTTCAAAAGACCGGAGCTGCTGACCACGTCCAGTGAGCCGATGTCGCTCAAAGTGTGCGGCTACGCCAAAGCTTGGCGATGCCTTCTGCAGCGGGACGCTGACGTGAACACCCAAGCGACGACTGCATCTGAGCAAGCAACAGGTTCCGCTTCAAGGCACGGGGCTACGGCACAGACTGTAAGACTGGTTACAGTTTTTCTTATGTGTGTTAACTGCGTGCGTGCATGACGACTGTATTTTAGAGGCAAAGATGTTTAACCGGCACCGTCCGTCCCTCATCGTAGTACGTAACATGTCTTACACTTTGACCTGAAAGGGATTGCCGGTGGGAAATTTCTCCTATGCGTTGTCGAACAATAAAATATTCGCAGCGAATACGTTAACTAAAAGCCAAACTCTCCGGTTTCTCATTCCGAATTACCAGCCATTGACTTGTACATTGAGCACTAGCTGACAAAAAGTGGCTGCTACGTTTTACTCGCTGGGTGGAACCTCCTTGGTTTTAGAAAGGTTCAGCCAGCGTTGGGCCGCAATGCCATGAGTACAGTAAACTAGTGTACACCATAAACACGAGGGGGTTAAAGGTGGCAAATAGACACCGTCGGAAAGTGTGCGTGTGCCACCTCTCGTTTCGTCATTGGAATGTCCGCTGGGTGGCGGTGCTTCTATATGCGGTATATATGACGAAATGATGCGAGACGGTGGTACTTGGAGTGTTGACTGGATGGACGAACGGACACAAAGACAGATGCATGAACGGAGGCACGAATGACTTCACGGACGTATGGACGCATTGAGAGACGCAGGGGCGAATGCATGTATGAATGCAGACACCCACGCACAGACGCACGCACGGACTGGTGAGTAGATGCGCAGACGGTCACACAAACGGGCTCATGGACGGACGGAAGCAAGAACGAATGCACGGTCAGATGCTTTGCCCCACGCTCCATCATTCACCCCGTAGATATGCTGCCATTTTTGGAATGGTTTTTTTTCTCGTCCAATATAACTTCATTTTTTGTGGCACTGTCTCCATTTTCCTCGCGTCACACGCCTTGGCACGTGACAAACCTAGCCCCCACATATCTGGCGTCCGCAACACAGGATTGCTGTAGTTCCAGCATCACATCACATATGTGTGGGTGACGGTCGATGATGGAGGCAGATAAGCTGAAGGCTGTCAGAAAGGAATCGGGGTTCTTGGCTCAGCACTGAAAAATTGGATTGACCAAAAACGCGTACTTGAAAAAGAGACACGTTACGCTCGTCTGGCTGTACGTGACAGTAGCGTGACAGTAGGTAGCGTGACAGTAGGTAGGACAACCACTGGGAAGCTTACCGAGGGTACACCCGTAGGCACAACGCAGAGCTACCAAAACCCACATAAACTCATTTCACCCGTTAACGGTGGATGCGATGAGCTGGATGAATATACGACAATTTGAGCGTGCCGGTACTAGTAAAAACTGGCCGCAAGACAAGTGGGCCTTGTCACTTAGCTTTTGCTTGACCGGAAAAGCCTTGAGTGTAGTTGGTAGGATGGCACCTGAACATGCCATGCACTACGTAACGCTAAAGAAAACGCTACTACAACGCCTCAGCGTCACGGAAGAAGGCTATCGGACAAAGTTTCGATCAGCAATATCAGATAATTCTGAAAGGGAAATGCATTTTGTTGGGCGTCTGTTAGGTTACTTTGATTATTGGTAAGAAATGGCCAAAACAGATGGTACCTACGATGCTCTGCGAGACGAAATTGTCTCGAAGCAGTTTCTCGTGCAATGCCTTGAGAAATTTGCTGTTTCTTAATGAAAGAAACTGTAAAAGCCTGGAAAAACTTGCGGAGGCTACAGACCACTACTTATAGGCTAAGGGTTTGATTACTTTGCAAAGGTAAATACGATAATCTGAGCAAACCCCCGGTCCAACTTGAACGTTTGAGTGGCCACACGAAAACAAGGAACCGCAGTGCTTCCTTTGTGACAAAAAGGGTCACAGAGCTGCTGATTGCTGCATTTACACAAAGGATCCAGGTGCAAAGCCACCATTCTATGGAAAGTGTCCCAGCACCAAACATAAAAGAGGTGACGGCCCCAAAAGGCCAACTGCGTTAAGAAGGCCTCATTATCTTTACAACGAAGATATGATGCCAAGGTCATTATTTTAAAATTCGCAGGCGTCTGTTTGTCTTCCTGATAGTACGGAGTGTGCGGAAACGCACCCGACCAATTGAAGAAAATATCGATGCCCAAGACCGAAGGTGTACTCGAAGGACATCCCTGAAAACTACTGTGAGATGCTAGATGCGAATAAATTATTGTCGAAAGGTCTCTCGTGGTCGATAGCAAGCTGACTGGAAAGATTTCCTCGATTTACCTCTTGGATGCACGGTTGATAAAGCAGCCTGAAGCACATGTGGAAACTATTTCACCTTTCTTCACAGGCAGAACTCAAACCATTTATGTGGATGATCTTTTATAGTATGTTCTCTTCGGAAATGTACGAGGTGTTCAAGATGCTCACATTTCTGATCACACTTGGAAGAGCAATCTTTACACCAAGAATGCTGCAGAAGAGTTTTCTGGCACAGAAAATTCCGGTTCTGCACACGGACCCTTTTACGTAAAGACTTCTACATCGGCTGCAAGCAAAACAGGTGTCAAGACATACGTTTCAGCGGTAAAGCGACAGACAGGGAAACCGCATGTACTCCTGGCACCAGTTATTAACCCCTTTGACATCAGCTCACAGGACTTCAGAACCAACTAGGAAGAAAAAAGCAGCCTGCAGAAAGGCTTCGAAGCAGTTGACCAAGAGGCCAAGACAAGGTTTGCTGAAATATTGTCTTTTATGAAGGACGTAATCCTCTATCGCAAGTACACCCTTCACTCTAAGAGCGTGTATATCAGCTTATGGTATCAAGGCTGATTGATTGATTGATTGATTGATTTTTGGGGTTTAACTTCCCTAAACCATATATGATTATGAGAGACGCCATTGTTGAGGGCTCCAGAAATTTTGAACACCTGGGGTTCTTCAATCTGCACCCAAATCTGAGCACACCGGCCTACAAGATATCCGCCTCCATCGAAAATGCAGCCGCTGCAGCCGGGATTCCATCCCGTGACCTGCGGGTCAGCAGCCGAGTACGTCAGCCACAAGACCACCGCGGTGGGGCATGTTACCAAGGTGCCTCCGATATTTTGTGATAAAAACGACCCACGAAGACATCCTATCGGGCCACCAGAGAATTAAACGAACCAACAGACCTGGTACTTGAATTGTTCTACTGGCGAGGGGTTCAGTCAGACATCACACGGTTTGTTAAATCGTGTGACTTATGTCAAAGAACAATTCTCAAGCACTTGGTAGGTCGTGTACCAGTCGGCGACGCTTCTATAATTGACACCCCATTCAGGAGAGTTGCCATCGATATTGTTGGTTCATTATTACCGATTCTAAAGGTTGGAAATAAGTACGTACATACATACGTAAATAAGGACGTACATACATGGCAATGCATTATGCCGATAATGTAGCACTGCCAAGCATTGAGATGGAGAAATTCGCTGAGGTGCTCCTGCAGGTGTCTCGTGTAGGGGTTCCACGGCTTATAATCAGGGACACGAGCACATTGTTCTCTTTACATCTAATGGGTCAGCTAAGCCGACTTCTCGACTTCAAAGAACTGCGAACATTACCATATCATTATATGACTAATGGCCTTGTAGAAAGGTTCAACGCTATACTGAAGCATATGATAAAGAGGATGTCTCAGGAGAGTACGACGAAATGGGGCGTGCACTTGCCGCCCTTACTCTTCGTCAATCGCGAAGTTCCACAGTCCAGATTAGTCTTCTCCCTGTTTTACTTGCTCCACAGCCATTACGTCGGAGGTGCCCTGGCAATATTGAGGGAGATATGGGCTGCTGATAACCTTGATAATAATCTAAAAACTTCCTATGATTACGTAGTCTAACTGCGGAACCGTCTTGAAGACACCTGTCGTTTGTTAAAGGAGGGGCTTAAGAAAGCGAAGTTGGTGCAGGAGAAGCATCATGATCAAAAGGCCAGGCCACGTCAATTAACGCCTGGAGACAATGTTCT